ACAAAAACCACTCATTTGATGTTGCCTTCTCACAGTCTCTGACGATGGCCTCCTGTACGAGACCGAAAGCTCAGACTAATAAACCCACTGTCCCAGAGATCGGGTCTTCATCTTCTTTATAAAAGCACAGTATATTTGGCATCCAGTGCTCTTGTCCAACTTTGCATTGTGTAAAGCAAGTTCGTTACACACCATCTTCCCCTACGAAAACCGTATTGTGCAATTAACAGGAGATTGTTGGTTTCCAAATATGCTATAAACTCCTTTATGATGTTTATCTTCATCACGTTGGGGAAAATTCGTGTCAGACTGACGAGTCTGTAATATGTCGCAGGAGCACGACTACCGCTTATCTAAAGGGGTGTATGTGGGCCGTCTTCCAGTCTTTGGAAAGATTTAAGCATCAAACTAATTCGGGCACAGAAAGGGTAGTTGCTTGGCCAACTGTTGAGCAAGATGAAAGAGCAGCTTTGCTGGAATTTCGTCCGGACTGGGAGATTTACATTCCTTCAAGATTTCAGTTCTTCCAAAATCCCTTCTTCTACAAGCACAATATCTTCAATAGTCTGATCTCTCATGTTCTCATAACTAGATGGAATAAAGTCTGCTTCTTTGTGAAAACAGATTGGAAAAACCGAGAAAACTTTTCAGCTTTATTTCTACTGTCTAATATCTACAAACCGTCATCACTCCTCATGACAGGAATGGGATTTCTGTTACGAATGCTCCTTCGTAAATAGCTGCATAACTGTTATGTAAATATCTGCATGTTTTTTTTCATACGGCTATCTGTAAATTGGAGTTCCAAGTCTCCGCCTATATCCGTCGTATATACTGAATTATACTGAATCTTGACACACTGAGCAACTCATGGAAACGTTTTTATTCTGACACTTTGAGACTTTGGAGTCCTCTACATATTGTAGAAACGTCCCTGATTTAACGTTCTTGAGCTGAAAGCGTGTGATTTTGCACCATTACGCCCTGCAGTCTGTAGGTCAATGTATATTTGCGATTTTTTCTCTACATTTTCTTGCTAACACTCCTGGTTTTAACTTGAGTTAAAGCGCTCTTTGTGTTCGCCTACTGCATGATGTCATTGTTTTATTGATTACGCTTATGTGACTTAATCCTTTTTAGCCAATTTTCACAAACAGCTTTTATTTCTCGGTCGTATATTGCCGGACGTGAATTAACACGAGAAGCAAGCCCAATCAAGTGACTTCAGATCGGAACTTTCTGGGCTAATCCCAAAGCCCCCGCGCTGCAACAATTGCTGTTGGGGCGGGCTTTCTTATAAGTGTGCCTAAAAAATTAAGTACCTTGTCGTTTTTCCTCCTTTTGATACCTTTTTTGTGAGAAACGCTTCGTCCCCTATTTAAATTTAGTTTTTCCTATATCTATTTTCTGAGTAATTTTAATTGTTGTTGACATTACAACCGCTCCAAACTGACAACCATCCTTTCTAACGGCAATCTTAATGTTACCTCTGTCCTTGGACGCTCATTGTATAGCATGGTGTCGGTTGCAGAAAGATTAGCCAAATGCCGGTGTACACGACGAATTATTGGTTCAGGTCTGCTTAATCTGTAGGTCCCTGCATATTACCTATTTCTGCCTCTTCGACTTTACAAACGAAAATTCCCTGTCCTAGTGTTTGAGTGCATTAATTGTTCACAAAGCAAAAAGCTTTGCTGTTGTTTTCTATTTGTGATTCTCAAATCACGTTTCGGCGCTAGAGTCCTCTGAAGTATAAGTAAAATCAAAATTTACTAGGCATACGTTCGTCGGCGCAACAAGCATTATTGAGTGGGATCAGTATGCTTAATTGAACCTTACTTTCAACGAGTGTCTAAAGAGCAGTACTAATAATCGCTTTTTGAGCACCCGCGCACTTAATGCTGACATAAATTCAAAAAGTACCGACGACTAACTTTCGAAAAACATCAACGCAACATACACAATGTACACAGTGCCGACTGATGTGTTGGACACCCGCTTGTAGCGTCGTTGATGACTACGATGAAACCTCCCTTTTTTACTTTCTATATCATTCTCAGTGTCATTTATTGCGTTTTAACGCAACGTCTCCAGATATGGTTAAGAAATTTTGGTTGGTATGATTTTATTTAAAAGCAGTGTATATCCATCACAAGTTGCAATGCTCTTTCGCTATATTCGCGTACAAGCTGATGCCTTAAATATAACTTATTTCTCTAAAATTCTATCTTTGTTAACTATTAACGGCAAAACGACACTGGTTCAAACCAAATCAAGCCGTTTGTGCAGTATACCATATAACCAGCGGACACACGTGTTTTTCGTTTGTATTGCAATCCCTGCCCTTTGGAGTTGACTCAGATGTAGAAGGCCCTTCAGACCCCACTATTGAAGACAATGTATACTCTCCAATCTAAAGATACTCCTATTCAATATGTGGTAGGATTTACAAGGGCCTTTAACCCAAGTACGACTATGAGATTAGAAGTCATCACAACTAATACGCCACAGGCGATCATCATTCGCCAGTCGTCAGATGGAGGACGCAAACTTGCACGAGAACTAATTCCACGTGTTGTCTGTCGAACTACAGCAAGTTCTCGTCACAACTGACTCGAGCGCGTCCCCAGATAAACGGACCAACCACGCTGATGTAGTTATTGAACGGTTTATCTGTCAGAGGGCCGTGTTCTATTATTAAGAAGTCGAGATTTTTGAACAGCACAGCCTTTATATTATTAAACAGTGGTTCCCAAAGTGCACTCAAGACAGGACACTAAACTCCCTAGCCGGCGCCGTCGTGATGTCGTTGCGATTCTCGATGAGCAACACTGTCGTCAAACAACCCAGCAGAAAACAGCAACTCGCACCGCAGTGACTACTAGGACTTAAATGACACAGTACATTAATTGTGCTCTCAGGACAGCTCTATGTGCGCTGTATCCAAACTTTCGTTATTAATTACGAGAAGGCTAGACGCAAAAATTTATGTTAATGCTATCACACGGTTAGAACGCAGTAAATTGCATTCCGCCGTAAACGTTACACCAGTCACCGCAACACCTTCACGAATCACTAGCCTCTAACACGAACGACTGACGCTGACGAGTCGCAGCCCAGTAATCTTTTCTGCATCCCCGGCAAATCAGTTGTTCCCCGCCTCCTTATTGTTATTATTAAGGAGGTAGGCGCCAGTTCACATCTATCGAATTTTTTTCTGCAAGTTGCAAATAACACCAGTATAGATGCGTTTGGACAGCGGTATCTCACCCTCGATCTCAGAGACTGGCAACAGTTTGTCCTCTCATCTCCAAAACTTCAGTTAGCATTCCCTTGACTATTCGAGGATCCCCGTCTGCTGACATTTTGAAAATTAAAACCCCAAGCCAAGCATTATCATCTGACAAAAGAGCCAAACAGATATCGAAAGGATACGTTGTTTCTAAACGAAATCTGTGGCCGCTCAACTACGCATGTTTGACCCTGAAAACGCCGAGTAATAATGAACGGATACGAGCACACGAGAACTATCCGTTCTTATTACAGTTTATTGGGTCACCACTGAGTAGGGTACCAAAGAAATCATTCAGCGGTTGAAGACTA